TGGAATGGTCTACATGAATGGTAGCTAGCCCTGAGCTGTTTCTCACTTGAAGAAACACCTGAAAGGGGTTGTACAGTGGGACAGAGACAAACTGAAAAGGAAAAGAGGCCAAAAATTAAATCATGAGTTACGTCATAAGGAGCAACAGTAACATCTTGAAATTTCTCAGGTGTCCTTGAAGGCAAGAAACCGTGAGAGAGGCATTAAAGCCATACTCATATTTTGCTAAAGGGTTTTGTTGTTTTTGCGCGAGTATAGACTGTAGTATAAAATCTGTTTTTTTTAACTGTTGTCGTTATGGTTTTGGGTCCCCCTTTGACCTTCAGGGGTCTCTTTCTCTCCCTACGTTACCCAAGAAGAGACAGCAATTGTGGTCATATACTCAAGCTACAATCACACCCTACAAAATCCTACCACCCAGGCAAGAGCCAACAGCAACTACAGTTACTCTGAGTAACTTAAAATGATAAGAAAAGTAAAAAGGGAAGCCAATCTCCTGATCACATCAAGATAAAATAGAACATTTTAAACAGGTGGAAAAAAATTAATAAATTATAAGATAATCTTTCACATCAAAACAAAACAAAAAAAGACTAACAGATTCAGTAAACATTAACAGAAATGAAATGAAATGAAAAGCCACAAAGTGAACTCAGTACAAAAAATTATGTGGAACAAAGAAACCAGCTGCTTCACACACACGCACAAACACACAGCAAAATGCAGCAATCAATTCATCCCTATTGATAATTACACCAAATGTAAATGGATTAAATGCACCACCAATCAAGAGACAGAGAGACCAGAATGGGTAAGAAAACAGGATCCTTCAATTCAACAATGTGCCTACAAGAGACACATCAAATAGATGGAGATAGCCTCAATGCCCATCAACAAAGTGGTTAAAAAAACTTTGGTACATACACACAGTGGAACACTACGCAATGTAGTGTTGAATCTGTAATGTACTAATGAATCTGCAAAACACCTCACAACATGGATGAACTGGGAGGACAGTCTGCTGAGTGAAATTAGTCAATCACAAAATGACAAATATTGTATGAGACCATTGTTGTCAAAGTTACAAAGTTAATAAAAGAGACATTCTTTGATGGCTATAGGGTAGGGTGGGGTAGAGGAAATTATTCCTGGGCTAGAGGGTAGACACATGTTAACACGGCTGATGGGGCAGGCATTATACACAAGAGGGAGGTTGGCAGAGGAAAGATGAAGGGAGTAGGAGACACCAACAGGAATGCAAGCGTTAATGTGAATAGAGGTAAATAAATACTGTGAACTGATGGTATAGGCGGGGATTGCAATCATCATAACAAAGCAAAACATATGATTTGTTGGATGTAAAACTGATGATCTGCTCTGTAAACCTTCACTCAAATCAATCATTTTAAATGATTAAATAATGAGTCTTTACCCACCAATTTTTTAAATACTATTTTTTAAATTTTTTAAATACAGTTGCAGAGCACTCGACCTCAAGGTTGGTTTGAACCACAAGGTCAGTGGTTCAAATTTACCAGCCGCTCCTTGGAAACCCTACACAGGATTGTTATGAGTCAGAACCAGCTTGACAGCACTTAACAACCTAGAGTTGGTTCTGACTCTTAGTGACTTTACAGGGTTTGCAGGAGCAGAAAGCCTCATTTTTCTCCTGTGTAGTGGCTGGTGGGCTCGAACCATTGACCTTTTGGCTTGCAGTCGAGTGTTTATCTTACAGTTACCACACTACCACTTTTATCATTTGTTGTTATTAAGTGCAGTCGAGGTGGTTCCGACTTATAGTTACCCTATATAGTGTTTCTGAGGAACAGCTGGTGTGTTTGAACTTCCAACCTTATGGTTCGATATCCAGTGCTGATCCTACAGTTCCACACGATTCCACATGTTGTTGTTGTTGTTAAGTACCGTGGAGTCAGTTCTGAGGTTGTAAATCGTTACTGGAGCAGAACGCCTCATCTTTCTCCTACGGAACCGCTGGTAGCTTCCATGAAGTTAGCAGCCCGATTCCTAACCACCACACTACCAGAGCTCCTTAGATTCCACATACATATGCTAAATTCCCATGTTCAGGTTTCTTTCTGAACTCTTTATTCTGACCAATTGTGCCAGTCTTGTGCCAATCCCTTATGCTGGGGTTTTATAGGATGCAATGATTGTGATCTTTTGGAAGCAGACTGCCATGTCTTTCTATAAATTCGAACTACCAATGTCTTGGTTAGTGTCAGAGTATTTAACCATCTCTTTAATACGCAGAGACTCTTAATTGTTCAGAAAACAATGATTAAGTAACTACTTCTGTTTCTCGCTTATCAATGCAGCCAACATTTACAACAGTACAAATGCTATCTGGCTGTTTTACACACAAGCGATGTATGTGTCGCAGTAATGAGCTCTGGGGGGCAAAGCAAGGGTAATGCTGGCTGTGGTTATACTTTATGTGTCAGTTTGGCTTACTCATGATTCTTGGTGGGTTGGTAGTTACGTAACGATGAAGTTTGGCAGTTACGTTACACCATAGCCTTTTTGCATCACACTAATTTTCAATTAACAATGTCTTTGGAAGCTTATCTTGCTGGTTAAGTGAAAAGTGGGTGTAATCTTTACCCACCACTTAAAATATTCCTTTATCATATGCATGTTAAACTATCTTGGGGTCTGTTCACTCTCTCTGTTCTGATATATTGTGTCATGTTTTAGTATTTGAGAGGACAGATTTTTTTCTGTCTCAGGGTATTCTGCCTTTTCTCATTATTCTAGATGAACTTTCAAATAATTATCATAAATAATCATTTGGGGATTTAGAGGCTGCATTGAATTTATAGTATAGTATGAAATCTTCCTATTTAAAGAACTCTTTGCTTAGTCAGCCTCTACTTTTTTTAAGTCACTCCTAAGTTTAGTTTTATTGATTAGAACTAGGTCCTGTACAATTTATTTAAGTTAATTTTAGTTATTTTCTGTTTTTTGTTGCTGTAATAATTGGGATATTTCCTTCAATTGATTTTCCAACTAGTTAGATAAAAGCTATAGCTTATTTATATTTTGTAAGCAGTCCCTTTTTAAGTTCTCTTTACACTCTCTTCTAGAATTCAAGGCCATGTCTTCATGTACCATGTCTATGTTGATGGTTACACCAGTGTGCATTCACATCTTGTACTCTTGCCCAAACCATCATTTTATCTTTCTATTTCAAATTGCAAAATTTCTCATACCACTGTCAGAATGTTTCATATCTGCATACTAACTCATTAAAAGTAAATCTGGCTTCATCCTGAGCAATAATATCCATGATACAGCCAGTTTGTTGGTTATAATTCTTCTAGTATGAATGAAAATAAACGCATAACTAAGTTTCAAAAAAATGTCCTTCATTCTACTAATCTTCCCTTCTACTAGCCACCAGTTTCTGAAACTCTTACCTGGCAACAGACTTTTCAACCTGAATATTTACCATTGCTTCAAATTCAGCATTCTTCCTTCACTTTCAACGCTTTCTTTACTCTGTCAGGGTAACACCATCTCCCCAGTCACATGGGTTTCTTCATCCCATCGTGATGGTATTTGCCTACACACTGTCCCTTGCCTTCCATTCTCCCACACACTCATCCAATACCCATCCCTGGTGATATCTTCACCTCCCAGTAGGGTTCTTTCCTGAAGACTCTTTCTGAACCAGCTGCATCATGTCTGTCAAGCTTATCAACTTGTGATGATCCCTTACTACCTTGTGCATTTTTGAAATATACTTCCGTTTCTTCCCCATCTCCTACTGTTCTGCAATCGTACTGTGGCCTTGAGGCTTTCCCCCTTCCCATCTGTTCATCCAAATCTTACCTGTCCTTTTGTGCTCACTTCCCAGGAAGTCTTCTTTGAGGATACCAGCCCCTTTCCCTCTCTTATTCCTGCAGTATTGTCTACTGTTGTCTCAGGGGTCTCCTCTCCCTGAGCGAACTGCTTAAGCACAGGTTTCACATCTCAATATGGGGCACACATTAGATGCCCAATAAACTCTTCTTCATTCATTGCCTGGTGGGATTCCCAAAGACTTACCTGGAAGGCCACTCTTCCCTGCCACTTGTCACAGCCACTCACCCCTCCCCGCACAACTCTTAATTCCCACCAACAAAGGGAAAGATGAAAAAAAAAACGTGTTTAAGAGAGGCGGAGAACACTGTAAAATATAAGAAGCCAATTTTAGGATCATTAGTCTTTTAATATATTATTCTGAAAAGAAATGAATTTAAAAAAAAGTTCCTGACATCGCTTCACTTTTTTTTTTAATTTAAATAAATACCCTGCCCACCCCACCCCCACCCACTAAAATTTCCCTCCTTCCCCAACATCCCGCCCTTCCCTGGTACTAGACCCTTACCCCAGAGCTAACTAAGATGCCTGTTTCCGAGCAGGCCCCACTCACTACCAAATTCTGGCACATCATAAACACTGTAAATGAGTCTGCTGCCCTGAGCCCCTCCCATTAGCCCAGCTGGTTGCCTAACTTTGGGGTGGGCCTTTAGGCATTGGGGTGAGTGCAAACCAGGAACTCTTTAATTGCCTCAATTCCTCACTCCCTGCTCAAGAATAGGGAAGACCCAGAATTGCCCTCCGGACGAAAATAAATAACAAAATAAATACCCCTTTCCCATTCCCGACTCTATAAAAGAACTCAGCTACCTGTCTCACTACTCCCTCTCCTTCATTGAGTCAGCCCCCTTTTTCCTTCCTAGCCCTTTTCTTTCTTCCCAGTGCTCTGCTCAGACTTAGGCTTGGCCTGTGCCCTTTCACGAAACCTTTCCTCTCCCCCCAAATTTTTTGGGGTGCCACTGGCGCCCCAAGCCCAACGGGCCCAGCAGATTCCCCATCTCTGGGAGCTAGGGTGGAGGGTACATTGGTCTCCCTGGCGCTCTCTCGCCTAGTCCATCCAGTGTCTCTCCTTCAAGACAAGTTTCCCAGGAGATCGGATCTACCCAGGGCCAGGCCTCTCAGATGGCAGTGTCCCAGAGGACGGTGTGCTGCCGGCGGCAGGGCGGGGTGCCGGACTTGCGGGGCTCAGGCCCCCGCCTCCAGCTGGGGAGGATGGGCATACTCTCCTGCTTGCACAGACCTCGGTCTGGCCGGTGCCGCGCCTTGATTTCCTTGCAGACGCAGCGCTTCCGTTCGATCACCTCCAGCAGCTTGCCGTCCCGCTCACGCTCACGGGCAGGCTGGTGCGGCAGGGGCAGCGGCAGCGGCAGCGGCAGCGCAGCGGGAGTCTGTGCGGGCGAGGGGAGAAAGGAAAGGGGGTGTCAACAATCTCGGAATGATAGGCCCTTCCTGCGTCTTCTTTGAAACTCTCCATCCCCCACCCCGCAGTCCTTGCTGTCGAGTAAATGGAACTGAAGCCCAGCCCCTGCTTGCTGGCCTCAGCCCATGCCAGTGTCTTTCCAACGTGGATGCCCTTCCACCCAAAGGGGGCGCCTGAATCCAAAGCACACAATGGTGCACTCCAGCCAGTAGCTGTCCTGCCTGGACAATCACCAACCTGGACCCTGCGCGCTGCTCCTCTTAAGCAGCTCCTTACCGGACCCTCCATTAGTCAGGGCCCTGGCTGGCCCTCTTGCTTCCTCTCCTTTCACTCCCAAATCATCTTCCCTGTCGGCTCCTTGGCAAATAAAACCTTTTCTCCCTCCTCACCTGGCTCAGGACATCTCTGGGCTGGCTGCAGGGCCGGGGCGGGTGCAGTGCGGACTGTCGGACTCCAGAGGTGGAGGCAGAGCGGCCCAGGCGGTAGCCTCCAGTGAAGTCTGAGCCAAGAACGTAGAGTGAGGACCTAGGGGCTCCAGGTTCCCCCTCCCCCAGCTCCCTGAGAAGAGCCCCGCCCAAACTGTGCCCCTACCTCCTCAGAGAGGGAAAGCTTGGAGTTGTGATATTAAGTCAGGGCTGGGGACATGCTCTTGTACAGGGGATATAGTAAGATCAGGGACTGGACCCTGGGTGATCCTCCCAGGTCAACCACATATGGGCTTGTATGTCTCAGGCAGGGTGTCACCTCCATTTCGGTGGCAGGCGGGGAAGGTCTGGCAGGGTATGGGCAATGCTGTGCGGCTTCCTCCTCGATCCCCTCCATGGTGGATCCTGGCCAGCAGGCCCTCTGCCCCCTGACTCCTCACTGGGATTCCGGATGCCACTGGGCCCCTGTCCTCACGCTCCACCTTGCCTGGACCCTCGGCACTGCCATTCCAGGCCCGGGCACTCTCTTCGGCTTCTGCTAGGATGACAAGGGTGCTTGTATATGGAAGGGATCCTGCTGTGCCAACCACACACACTATAGCACAGATGGACCAGACCCTACTGCACTTTCTGCAATATACACACACATATTCATTCAGAGAGATCCAGAACCGCCACCTTCCTTCCCACCCATCAGTACCATTCCAGTGGGACTGAGCATCACATATATTTGTTGCTTCTAAACCTCTTCTCCAGGTCACAAGTCTCTCTAGCCCCAAATTTAGCTTCAGAATCTCTACAGCCCTAGACAAGAGTCAGAATGATCACCTTCCTGAAACTGAGACCAGGTGTGTTATTCCCCAGGAGGGAAAGAGTCCCAAATTCTGGGCCTTGGAGGTGGGGGTGCTGGGGGAAGGGATGCCTGTGAACTAAGATCATCTCTAAGAGCAGGCCTGGCAGAGCATTGCGTTGCTAAGCAACGGTAGGGGCCTGCCGCTCCTTTCCCTCCTGTATGGATGGGTTGTCATGGTAACAACTGGGAGGCAGCTGTGTTTAGTTCCTAGTGTGCGCACACTCACAAACACACCCCTGCAGCCCTGGGAAGGGTGGGGCGGAGAGCAGAGCAGGTTAGGCAAGAGGACACTGCCCACCCCCCATCCATTTGGTTACCCAGAAAACTCCCCTGTTCGGAACAATGGGTTGTGGTTTCCAAATGACTCTACCAACTACTCCCCCAAACCATCCTCCA